TTGGGGAAGTGGCTTCTGTGGTGAGTTGATTAAAGATGCCAGGGTTATTTAGAAGTCTCTCCCTTTGGCTGAAGAAGGGACTAAAATGACAGCTGAGCTGACAAACTAAGCCAGTGTCATGGATTGAATCGTGTCCCCTAAAAATATCTGTCAACTTGGCTAGGTCATGACTTCCAGTATTGTATGATTGTGTAATCTGATGTGATTTCCTTATGTGCTGTAAATTCTATCACTGTGATGAGGTTATACTGATGAGGTCTATAAGATTGGATTGTGTCTTAATCTAATCTCATTTGAGATACAAAAGAGAGAAGCAAGCAGAGACACATGGGAACTTCATACCACCAAGAAAGCAATGCCAGGAGCAGAGCACATCCTTTGGACCTGAGGTTCCTGCGCTGAGATAGTCCCAGACCAAGGGAAGATTGATGACACAGACCTTCCTCCAGAGCTGACAGAGAGAGAAAGCTGACGCCCTGAATTTGGACTTTTAGCCTACTTTACTGTGAGGAAATAAATTTCTCTTTGTTAAAGCCATCCACTTGTGGTATTTCTGTTACAGCAGCACTAGGTGACTGAGACAGCCGGTAATGCTACAGGACCTGCAGATAGGGACTAGATGATAAAGGACAACAATCGACTGGGAATGAGACACAGTCTCGGAGCTGGATAAGGACATATGGATGACGTGTTTCTGCAAGTTTTAAATTGTATCTGTAAAATGTATTATACTGAACCCTTTCCTTATAAAAGGTGGAGAGGAAACTTGAAGAATCATCCCTGGGGGATGTTATGGATTGAACTGTGTCCTCCCAAAATATATACTGAAATCCTAACCCCTGAGCCTGTAAATGTAATCCTTTTTGGAAATAGGGTTTTTCTTTTTGTTATGTTAATAAGGTCATATCAGTGTAGGGTGGATCCTAAACCTCATCACTTCTGAGTAATAAAAGGACCAGAACAGACACAGAGACACACACAGAGGAAGGCCAACATGCCTCCCAGGGTCCCTGCCCAGCCAGCTGAAAAAACCCCATAAACCATCAGAGTCTGCCTTAGAAAACCAGGTGGCCTTCTCCTGTGTCTGTACTGGCCTTTCCCCTTGGCCCAAAGCATTCATCTAGGTATAGCAGGATGCATTATTAATTGTTCAGATTACAACTTGGCCCACAAGGAAGAAGTCTAGGGTAATTCTCGTGTGTGTGTGTGCGCGCGCGCGCGCACACGTGTGTGCATGTGTATGCGTGTGTCTGTGCGCGCATGCGCACGCTTTAGGTGGAAGTCTACAGAGCAAACTAGTTTCTCATTAAAGAGTTAATACACAAATTGTTTTGTGTCATTGGTTGCCGACCCTGCAATGTGTCAACACTCTCCCCTTCTCTGTCCTGGGTTCCCTGCGTCCATTCACCCCGTTTCCGGTCCCTTCCCGCCACCTTGTCTTCGCTTTTAGGCTTACAGACTTTCTTAATCGACCTCATTTAGCTTCGGAAAGAGGCCCCTGGGTGGCACACAGTCTCATACATGATGGAACTACCAAGTACATCCCTCATGTGTGTTATTGTCGGCCCTACTGAAAAAAAACCATTGCCGTCGAGTCGATTCTGACTCACAATGACTCTACAGGACAGAGGAGAACTGCCCCACAGGGTTTCCAAGGAGCAGCTCGTGGATTTGAACTGCCGACCTTTTGATTAGCAGCCTGAGCTCTTGACCACTACGCCACCAGGGCTCCGCAGACCTGTCTAATCTTTGGCTGAAAGGTGAACCTCAGGAGTGACTTCAGCACTGAGTTAAAACGGTATCCGGGGCCATGCTCTCGGGGGTTTCTCCAGTCTCGATCAGACCAGCCAGTACGGTCTTTTTTTTTTGGGTCTGCATTTTGTGGAACATGTGTTTTAAATGTAAGAAACAATCTAAGAATTTTTCTTCCAACCTCAGGAGGAGAATTTCCTGAGTTTTCAGTGTCAGAATGGTGATTATTTGAATATGATTAACTAGGTCTTCACTAGGATAAAAGGCACCTGGGTGGTTCAAATGGTTTGTATCCAACTACTAAGGGTTAGTGGTTTGAACCCACTCAGCAGCACCATGGACGAAAGGCCTGGCGATCTGCTTCCGCAAAGATTACAGCCAACTAAACCCCATGGAGCAGTTTTACTCTGTAAGACATGGGGTTGCCATGAGTCTGAATCAACTTGATGACAGTGAATTTGGTTTTTCATCAGGATAAACAAATAATTTGCTAATTATTCCTTTTAGGACATACAGGCATAGGAACAAGCCCAACAATACAAAGATGCAACAGAGAACAGAGGTGACATAACAGTTTGTTCTACAACCTTTGTGTTTAAAACAGCATATTGTTTCATCTTCCCTTTAGGTTCATATATTTTATATGTTTACATATATTTTTCTACAAAAATAGGAACAAGCGTCCTGTTCTCCACATTTTAGGAAGAGGATTAAGGCATTCCTGGCCCGGGGCAGAGAAAATAAGACGAAGCCTGTAGCAAGACAGAGTGGAGGTGCATCCCAGCACCCACAGAAGAACAGGTTCCACACTGCAGCCCCAGATTCATGTGAGCACTACATTTTGAGCCACCTGACAGTGAAGGTTTGGATCTACTTGCATATATAATCTTTGCTATAAAAAATTTTTCAATAAACTTACTGACCCAGAGTCAGCAGACATACTCATGCCATTTTCTCGGTGGACTGTGGCACACATTTGTTTGACAGTTGATTGAGCTTATGGGGTGTGTCTCTAACTAGAAAAGAGAATGAAACTAAATGAACTTAAAAATATTTCATTCCAAAACTGTTATGGAAAAACTCCTACGAACCTGGCAGAGCGCTAAGTATTAGAGATGTAAAGAATACGGTATGGTCCCTTGTCCTCGAGTGCTTTATATAATATAGCAAGATCACTGCTTTAATGTGGGGGAGTCCATGCACAGGGGAGGCCCTTGGTTGACACACGTGGTTAAGGACAACTACCAGCCGAAAGGCTGGCGGTTTGAAGCCGCCCAGAGGCACCTCAGAGGACAGTCCTAGTGATCTGCTTGTTAAAGGTCACTGCTCTGAAAACCCCAGGGAGCAGCCTACTCTGCAATCACGGGGTCGCCATGAGTCAGAGTTGACCCAACAGCAACTAACAACACTACAGGGTGCAGTGGTGGTTCAGGGGTAGAATTCTCGCCTTCCATGAGGGAGACCCAGTTTCGATTCCCAATCAATGCGCCTCGGGCACAGCCTTCTGTGAGTGGAGGCCTGTGTGCTGCTATGATGCTGAACAGGTTTCAGCACAGCTTCCAGACTACGACAGACTAGGAAGAAAGGCCTGGTGATATACTTCCAAAAACTTCAGCCAATGAAAACCCTATGGATCAAAACAATCTGAAACTATAATGCATGGGATCACCATGAGTCGGGGGCCAACTCCACAGCCTTTGCTAACAACAACAGCATAAAGATCACTGAGATCACAGAGAAAACATAACCCTTGTCTGTCTGTATGAGAAGCTAACCTTTGATTCTGGTTTGTAAAAACATTATTCTAAAAAAGCAAAGAAACAGAAATGTAAATACACAAAACACACGCATAAACAGGTGTCTCTTTGGGGCAGAAACGACAACTTCAGAAGTAGAAAGCTTGCCCTCAGGTCACAGTCCTTGAATTGGCAAAAGCTGTGTATTTGTAACAACAACAAATTAAAAAAAGAGTAACTGCTGAGACTGCTTGTGTACAACCAAACACCTCGTGGGATTTGGTTTCTTGATTTGGAGGTTTGGGGTCATGGTTTCACGAGACATCCCAGTTAGCTGGCCTAATATCGTGTTTGGTGCTTCTGTTCTATCTCCTCATTCACTGCGTAGTGCCTGGGGTCTTAAAAACTTGCAAATAGCCATCCAGGGTAAAACAATTGGTCTCTATTCACCTGGAGAAAGGAGAGTCAGAAACAGGAGGAGGGTACAGAATGCGTGGTAATTAGCTCCAGGAACAACTGCCTCCTTTGTCATGAAACTAGAACTGGATGGTGCCCGACTACCATTACTGCACATTTTGATCAAAGATTCTACAGAAGAATCCTGACCAAAAGGGGGAAAATGTGGAACAGAATTTGAAATTTTCATAGAAACCAGAATTTCTGGAGCCATGGAGGCTGGATGAACTCCTAAAACTACTGCCCTGAGATAATCTTGAAACCTTAAACCAAAAATATCCTCTGAAGTCTTAAAACCAAACAATAGTTTAGCTAACTAGTAAAGAATGCCTGCCTTGAGCATTGTGCTCTTTTAAAATTTATCTATATGGGATCAAATGGAAAACAGTAACTTGAAAGATTAGATAGGAAACTTAGGGGACAGTGAGTTTATATTAATGGGGGAGGAACAACGTGGAAAAGGAGGGTGAGAATGGTTACACACCTTGAAGAATCAATGTCACTGAACTGTACACGTAGAAATTGTTGACTTGATGTATGCTCTGTTGTGTATATTCTCAACAATGACAAAAAACAAAATAAACTACGAAAAAAAAACCCACAGTCCTGGGCATACTCTTAAAAGGAATCCAACAGCCACACAGTAAGATTCAAGCTAGAACAAGCATATTATTTTGTATCTGCTTCTGACACAGAACAAAGAAAATCAAAGAGACTGAGTGGACAGGTAATAAACGACTTCCTTATATGTAAACCTAAATTTTCTACACCATGTTTTATGCTTATTTTATGCTAAATATTTGCTTGATATGTAACATATTGCATGCATTTAAAAAATCATCACGCTTTTTAAAAAAGGATCTGCTACTAACAGAGAATGACTTAGTGTTTTTTCTTCAATGGAAAAGTAAGGTTGCAAAAAGGGCAAGTACAAAATTTTTTTAAAATGCTATCATGAAAGAAAATATCTTAGACACACACGTTCGTTGACTTATTCAGAAATTCAACCAGCTTGGTTACTTGCCACGTGTCAAACACCGCACATATTAAACGTACCTTTGATTTATGTGCTTGATGAATAATCTTCAGTTTATCTGAAAGGAGAAAAAAACAAGCTGTCTTTTTAAAGAGTTATTTTGAAACTTCATTTCAAATCCTTAAGTGAGTGTTTTTTTAGGAGGGGCCATAAATTTGAGAAATTTGCATCCTTGCCTAGCATACAGTAAAAGAAAAATTACCTTTGCAAAACATTAAAATTAAAGATCACAGTACAAAGATATTTTACAGCCTTGAACTTTGCCACAGTTGCCATGATCTTAAATCAACTCAGCACATTTTCCCTTGCAATAGAAGCCAAACGAACCTATTACTTTATTTC